TTCTCTCAAACTTTTATTTATTATACTCCAGTTTCAGTCCTATTCACTGTCCCCCCTTTTTTTTCCAAGGAAAAAAAGAGAGTGCAGTTATGCAGCAGGTTTTTATAAAACTGAAACAAAATAGTTTCACTATTACATACTTCATATTTAGTTTTAAATTTATAAAATGTCCACGAAACTAAGTAATATACTTATATATTTTTTGATAAGGCACAATTTGGATTATAGATTATAAACACAAGGTAATAAGACCAAATCCAAATAAATAGTGTGTGACCTTTCGGTAACAGCGTTGTTACCATCTTCAGACAAAAGTACTGAATGAGAAAATTTTTATTTATTTATTTCGTCTCAATTTACAGGTGTTACATTCGAGCACAGCTCGCGAGTCACCTTGTCCTGGCTATTTACACATGGCGAGTTGGTGGAGTAGAAGTGGTCCCCCTAGGCCTTGCAGGAGGGCAGCTGTTGGGCGATGAGCTCTTGACTAAGTGTCAGGGCCGGGTCGTCGGAATCGGGGATTGATATCTCCTTTATTTTGTAGAATATCTTGTATGGTTGGATTATTTGAATTTTGCATTTGGAGGTATAATTTCTTAACGGAAGTTTGGTACATATCTTCTAGATCGGGTTGGTTCAAGTCCTCCTTCAGTATCTTGTTTGATAGGTTGAATGGAGCTCCTATACTTGTCCGAAGGCAGATTCTCATAAATGCGTTTATCCTATTTTTGTTTGTGGTTGTAATATATTTACACCAAATTGGGAGTGCGTATGTTACTATCGGGAGGATACAACTTCTGTATAGAGTAAACTTTTGTTTTGTAGTCAATTTGCTTCTATAGTTGAACAGGCTTGATAATGTTATTTTTGCGATTTTTGCTTTCTTTATGATATTTTTGACATGCATGTTGAATTTCAACTTGGAGTCTAAGGTAACTCCAAGATATTTAACGCTGTCAGTCCAGTTAATAGGGCTCTGGTTTACCTTTAGGATGGATTGGGGCTTGAATTTTTTATTGTCTAGTGGAGGAAAAATTATTGCCTGAGACTTTTTTGGGTTGATGTCTAATTTCCAATCGTTGCTCCATTTGGTTATACTGTTTATGTAATTTTGGAGTTGTGTAGTTATTATTCCTATTGATTTGGAGTTTGCTAAAATTGCTGCGTCATCTGCGAAAAGTTTTATTTGACATTTTGGATGTTGAGGGAAATCGTTGATGTAGATGTTGAATAGGTAGGGTCCAAGGATAGAGCCTTGAGGGACTCCAATCTGGGTTGGTTTTGCCGTGGTTATATAATTCCCTTGCTTAATTGAAAAGGTTCTGTCCTGGAGATAGTTTTTCAAGAAATTGATAAAATCCCTTGGAAATTGATTTTTTGTTATTTTTGCTATCAAGCCATCATGCCATACTCTATCAAAGGCTTTGGTAAGGTCTAGAAAAACAGCACCTACTGCCTCCTTGTGGGACTTTCTTATTTGGATGTAGTCTATTACTGTGATTAGCTGGTGGGTTGTGGAGTGTCCTTTTCTGAATCCAAATTGTTGAGGAATGATAAAGTTAATAGAATCCATGTATGTCTGCAATCTGCGAAGAACAATCCTCTCGTATACCTTACCGATGGTAGAGAGAAGGCTGATTGGTCTGAGATCTTCAGGTGATTTGACAGGTGATTTTTTTGGAATGGTTATGATAATGGCATGTTTCCATGTCTTCGGGAAGTAGCACAGGTGTAATGCAGCATTGAAGATCCCAGCGAGGAAAACTATCCATTTTATGGGGAGGTTTTTAGTCATTTGCGGCGTAATATTGTCGTGGCCTGGAGCTTTGTGATTACCTAGGTTTTTAATCACTTCCTTGACTTCATTTGGCGTTGTCATTGATAGTATATTCTCTTGGGGATGATGGCAAGTGTTATCTGTTAGGTAAGACGGAACCTCATCCACCGCCTTGGAAAAGTGTTTGGAAAAATGCTCTGAAAGATCATTTCCAATTTCTTTGTCGGTCAGCAAGGTTTTTCCATTTGCATTTAAACTAGTCATTTTGTCAGTTTTTTTCCTAATGGGTTTTGTTTTTTTCCAGAAGTCTGTTGGGCTCGATTCAAGTTTGCTTAAAAAACTATTCCAATTTTCAGATTTCTCTGCTTCAAGGGCTTGATTTACCTTTCCTTGAAGATTGAGGTAAGTAGCTCTATGAGCTGGATCCCAGGTTGATTGCCATCTTTTCCTAGCTTTATTTTTCTCCCTTATTAAGGCTTTGGTGTTTGGGTTCTTTATTAATTTGGAAGATGAGACTATGGTGTTTTTCGAGTAGCTATTATTAATTTTCTCGTTTAAAATTCCAACTGCTGAATCAATGTCTACTTCAGTTTTCAAGGGGAGTCTGGGGGGCGTGGTGGAGATTAGATCTTGTTGAAAATGAACCCAATTAGTTACTCGGCTGAGCTGGGTTGTGAATTCATCCTTTGGGCAATTCAATTCAAAGATTACAGGGAGATGGTCAGATGATAAATCGTCGGAGGTTCTGGCATTTGGGGTCCAGGGAATGTTTTTAAGTACAGCGAAGTCTAGGAAATCGGGATTGCCGAGTGGACTGTAATGCGTGGGTGACGAAGGTGCGACAATGTCGAGGCTTTCTCTTTCAGAGAAATTGTGCAGCACGATTCCACTGTTATTTGAAGTCCTTGATCCCCAAAGAGGGTGTTTGGAGTTCCAGTCTCCTGCAACGATTATTGAGTGGTTGTGTTTTATCAGTTGGTTCAAATCTTCTTCCAATAATGGTGCATCAGGCTTCTTATAAATTGCTGTGATTTGCAAGAGTGTTTTTCCATCTGGTTTTATCAAAATTGAAGTATTTTCCAAGTTTAAAGTATGAATCAGCATATTTTTATATTTAAAAAAGGATTTTATGATGATGGCTGTTCCCCCACCTTTTCCTGTAATTCGATCAGTTCTAATGGTTTGATAGTTCCTGAACTTTAGATCAATTGAGGGTTTAAGGTGAGTTTCACTGAGCAGAGCAATGTCAATTGAGTTATCTTCTAAAAAGTGCAATAATTCTTCTTTCTTTGATCTGATTCCGTTACAATTCCAAGCAATAATTTTAAAAGGTAATTTGCAATTCATTGTAGGTATGTTTTGATTACTTGCATCAATTTTTCACACAGGTCCTTAGTTTCAGAACGAGAAGTTTTTCTTGTCACAACCTCAGCATTGCTTTGGTTTTGTTGTTCTACCATTTTCGGCAGTGTTTCAGATCTTTTTGAAATCGGAAGTGGGTTGTTAGGTTTGTACTGACCAGGGTATCTTGGCTGTTGCTGATGTACTCTTGGAAACTTAGGGCATCCGCGGTAATTGGCTGTGTGCGCTTCTTCGCAGTTTGCACACTTTGGGGGAAGTTGTCTTGACTTTCTTGGGCAGTCCTTCAAATGGTGCTCCTCGGCACACTTGACGCATTTTGGTTTCAGGAAGCAGTTAAGTTGACCGTGCCCGAAACCCTGGCAGTTGAAGCATTGAGTCACACGGTTTGTTGTTCTGAAAGATTCTACTGCAATTTTCTGATAGAGAAGTTCAGTTATTCCGTAAATTTTCTTGTTGTGTTCATTTTTCGGTAATTCTACCAGTACTAAATTCATTGGCCTTTTAGTTGATTGTCTATGAAGTCTCTTCACAGAGGTCTCAGTAAAGCCCATTGTTGCAAGTTCTATTGCTATATCTTCAGTCTTGTAGGCTGTTGTCACGCCCTTTAATACCACTTTGAGCGGTTTTTCTTCTTGGAGTCTATAGGAGTAGCCGCCATTATTTTTTTGAACATATTCCCTGATTTTTTTGAAGTCTGAAATATTTTTGGCCTTGATAATGTGCTTATTTCCTGAGATCGTACATTGGAATTTATGAGAAAATTTACTACAGCAGGGTTTAAATAGTTACTGTTATCAAGTGTGTAAACAAGATAGCAGATAAGAAGAAGATAATTTTCTGAGAAACACAGATAATTATTTTTAAAATTAAAAGTGGAAAATACCCACTTTTTTTTAAAGATATAATTAAAAGCATATCTATAAATATCATTGATATTTTCTCTTTCTTCCATTCTGTTAATTGTAGCACATTTCTTTTGAATGAAAAATGCTTCTTTAAATTGTCTCTTAAAATATTTTTTCTCATTATCTAGTATCTTTGTTTCTTTTAGGTTAAAATTATTATGCCCTGTGATTTTTCTATGTTCTACAAGTGCAGAATTCTCAATTTTATCCCATTTCAGAGCATATTCATGGTTTTTCATTCTTTCTTTTAAAGTTCTGGATGTTTGTCCTACATAGCATTGGTCACATTTCACTTCATAAATTAAACCTGCTCTTTTTGATAATTGAGTCTTCTTTGATTGTTGATATGTTGAGAAATAGGATTACATGGTTTCCATGCAATTTTTATTTTTTCATACTTTTTGAATATATTAGTAAAATTTCTCTCTCTCTCTCTTGCAAACTTTTGGTTTATAAATGGCAATGTAATAAATTTGGCTTCTTTGCTTTTGCACTTTAGATTTTGAATTGAGTATTATTCTCATATTTTTGGTTATGTCTTCTATTATTCTATCTATCAATTTGATGGGAAAATCTTCATTAATTAGTTCTTTTTTGATGTTGTTGATTTCTATATTTCTTTTAATTGTATCATTAATGAGTGCAAAAGTTCTATATATAAGAGCTTTTACTAATCCTACTTTTTGGCTGAAATGATGCTGTGAGCTATAGTTCCAATAGGTTCCTGTATGTGTTGGTTTTTTGTATATAAAGGTTGTGATATTGTTATTATTAATACAATATAATATAATGTGGCTTGTGATTGTAAAACGACATTTTAAAATTTATCCCGCATGTGTTTCTTTTCAACTAAAAATCGAAATTTATTTTAAGGAGAAATAACGATTATTTCTATCCTTAGGGATGAGGTATGAAAGGATGAATTGTGAAGAGTAATGATAAACGAAAAATAAAAGTGTCCAGGGATGGGAATCGAACCCACAGTGTATCGCTTACCGGGCAGATTCCATGCCCACTAGGCTACCATGGTACCATATGTCCAGGGTAGCCTAGTGGACATGGCATCTGCCCGGTAAGCGGAACATTGTGGGTTCGATTCCCATCCCTGGACACTTTTATTTTTCCGTTTATCATTACTCTTCACAATTCATCCTTTCATACCTCATCCCTAAGGTTAGAAATAATCGGTATTTCTCCTTAAAATAAATTTTGATTTTTCATTGAAAAGAAACACATGCGGGATAAATTTCAAAATGTCGTTTTATAATTGTTATTATTGTATGATAAATTCATGTTCAGGAAATTTTTTGATTTGTTGTTATCTACTTCCATAGGGTAATTGATATCAGGACATAGGTTGTTAAAAGTATCCAATATTGTTCACTTCCCTGAATAATAAATAAAATAGAGTCATCTACATATCTTTTGAAATAATAAACATCATTTTTAAGTGGATTTAGAGCTTTGATTTCAAATTGGCCTATTGTAATACAAGCTGCATTTGGTGAAATTGGACTTCCCATTGTTGCACCTTTCATTTGAAGATATATTTGGTCATCATAATGTCTGAAGATGGTAACAATGCTGTTACCGAAATGTCACACACTATTTACTTATTTGGATTTGGTCTTATTACCTCGTGTTTATATATATATATATATTTTAAAGTACTATCTGGGTTATAAATAATAAAGGTAACAAGACCAATGAGAGCAATAATTGTGCAGAGTATTAGGCTCATAGATTGTTGAGCTCTGGAAACCAAAAGGAATAATACTCTGCTAGTGATCTCTTTTGACTTGTATATAATATATATATAATACTAGCGGACGTACCCGGCTTCGCCCGGGTTTTACCCGAGTAAAAGTTTGTCTAACGAATCTCTCGATAAAGTGAACATTTTTTTCCCGGTCCCTTGAAAAATACTCGATAAGTTGAATAAAATCAATATTAATTGGTTCCCTCGGTAATTGGAAGTTAAAGGAATAGTATCTTGCCTTGGAATTGTATCATTATTCTTGTATGGATGTACCCGGCTTCGCCCGGGTTTTACCCGAGTAAAGGTTTGTTTAACGAATCTCTCGATAAAGTGAACATTTTTTCCCGGTCCCTTGAAAAATACTCGATAAGTTGAATAAAATCAATATTAATTGGTTCCCTCGGTAATTGGAAGTTAAAGGAATAGTATCTTGCCTTTGAATTGTATCATTATTCTTGCCTCAAATAAATTGCCGTGTCATCCTGAATTTTGTCTTTCCTAATTTTCTACATTACAAAATCATCGTATCACCATGATAATATTTAGAGCAGATTGTTGAAATATAACAGATAAATTAGAATATTTATCTTGATTATTTCTAGGCGAAAAGTTATTTCAAAAATTTAATTTGCTAGAAACCTTCCCAGTACTATACTAAATAACTTCCCAAAGTTTCATGGCGATCCAATGAGTGGTTTGGTCAGGCATAAATGACAATCAAACAAACAAACAGACACACATACATTCATTTTTATATATATAGATAATAATAGGAAATAAACTAATGCTTAGTTAATCTTGCCTCGTCTTGGATAACAACACATGGTGGCAGCGGTAAACTGAATTCACAAAGAAGGTCGTTGTTCGAAGAAAATTTGAAATTCGACATCAAGCAAGCTTAGAAGCAGTAAACTGAATTCACAAAGAAGGTCGTTGTTCGAAGAAAATTTGAAATTCGACATCAAGCAAGCTTAGAAGCGGTAAACTGAATTCATAAAGAAGGTCGTTGTTCGAAGAAAATTTGAAATTCGACATCAAGCAAGCTTAGAAGCGGTAAACTGAATTCATAAAGAAGGTCGTTGTTCGAAGAAAATTTGAAATTCGACATCAAGCAAGCTTAGAAGCAGTAAACTGAATTCATAAAGAAAGTCGTTGTTCGAAGAAAATTTGAAACTTGACATCAAGCAAACTTTTTGGTAAGTTATATTATAATATAAGTAAATCTTTATAATGTCCCAAAATTATAATTGTGTAGCCCCAGAACCTTTTAATTTTTCAAATCCAGGTGATTGGCCAAAATGGATTAGGAGATTTGAACGTTTTAGGCAGGCAAGCGGGTTAATTAATAACCCAGAAAATGAGCAAGTTAATATGCTCGTGTACTGCATGGGTGATAATGCAGATGACATTTTGTTGTCATGTAAAATAGCAAGTGACCAACTAGAAAATTATAATAAAGTTATTGAATGCTTTGAAAGTCACTTTATTCCAAGACGTAATATAATTTATGAAAGGGCAAGATTTAATCAAAGATGTCAGCAGGAAGGGGAAAAGGTGAATGAATTTATCACAGCACTCCATAGCCTAGCTGAGCACTGCAATTTTGGGATGTTACATGATGAGTTGATTAGGGATAGGATAGTTGTTGGAGTAAGGGATAGAGCATTATCTGAAAGAATGCAACTTGATACAGACTTGACCTTAGTAAAAGCCACACTAATGGCAAAGCAATTAGAAAGTGTCAAAGAACAGCAGTCTAGCCTTTACCAACAAGATTCTATAGATCAAATAAAGAAAATGCCTAATCACATAAAAGAAACAAAAAGGCACGAACCAAAAATAAGACAATTCAAGTCAAACCAGTTGGGAGGGTCATCACATGGATGCACCAGGTGTGGCAATTCAAATAATCATGATTGGAAAAATTGTCCAGCTATGAACTCGTATTGTAGTAAATGCAAGAAAAAGGGCCATTATGCCAAAGTATGTAGATCAGAAGCCATAAATGAAATAAAATCAGAGATAGTTTTTTTGGGATCTGTAGAAGATAATTCCAAGAAATGGATAGTACCAATTAAGGTGTAAATAATAGACAAATTAATTTTAAAATTGACACCGGAGCTGATGTCAACGTGCTCCCCCTACAATATTATTATCAAAGTTTCCAAAGAATAAAACTGGAAAAATCTGATAAAATATTACAAGGTCCAAATGGAATACCCTTGGAAACAGTTGGAATGATCCACGTAAAACTTCAAAATAAAGGCCACCGCAAGTTTGAATGTACCAAACCTGCCCGTGGTGATGGACGTGGCCGTGGACAGAGCCGTGATGGAGGCAGCAACAACACCTGCTACAACTGCGGAGAAGTTGGCCACCGTAAATATGAGTGTACCAACAACACGGCTGAAGATGGAGGACAGGAGGAGAACCAGCGCAAGTCCAAGAAGGCTCGCTACACCTGTGGGGAGTTTGGCCATAAGAAGGACGACTGCCCCAAATCTGGAACTCAAGAGTCCGGAGATGAGGAGGAGTCCTCTGACAATAAGGAGGAAGAGACTCCCCAGAAGAGGAAGCAAGCTGAGGACAGTGAGGAGGAGGAAGTAGAAGCTGAAGAACCTCCCAAGAAGAAATCTAAGAAGCCCAAGTCCAAGAAGAAAGAAGAAGATTGCTATCTGACTCTTCAAGCATATAGGACGATGCCCCTGGAAAGCGCCAGGAGCAGAGAAATGAGGAGACCCCCACTTCGACATCAACCTGGCTCTCAAGGAGATGCAAGGATGACCAGGAGCAAGAGACCAAGGAGGATTGCCCTACACCAACGGCCTCATCTACAAGAGATGGAAGGATGCAGAGGGACAACCAAGACCAGGATCCAGAGAAGAGCCTCCCTTCAATGCCAGCCGTGCATACAAGATATGGAAGGGCAGTCAAGATACCTCGAAGGTTCCTGTAAAGTTAAGGGAGGAGATGTGCAGAGTATTAGGCTCATAGATTGTTGAGCTCTGGAAACCAAAAGGAATAATACTCTGCTAGTGATCTCTTTTGACTTGTATATAATATATATATAATATAATAGGAAATAAACTAATGCTTAGTTAATCTTGCCTCGTCTTGGATAACAACACAATAATAAGGGCAAATGTTTTATAAAAGACATTGATGTTGGGAAAACTTGAAGGAAGAGAGGAAGATCTTCAATAAGTTCGCTGGAAGAAGTAAGAAAGCTACTGTAAGGTCACCAAGTGATCTGTGACGGATAGTCACTAACAGATCAAATTGGAGAATATTTGTCCATATAGTCAACAAAAGTCAAACTCTGACTTGATGGTCACTAACAGTTCAAGTTGGAGAATATTTATCACCAAAAGTTGACTTGATCCCAATAAGTTGAATATACGTGATGTTTTGGCAACTACACTTTCACACAAACTTCCTGTGTAACTTAATTATTTAGATCTTGTGTTACTTTTTTTTATCCTTCCCTGAAAAAAAGGGGGTGTGCTGAAGTGTTGGATAAAAATGAAAGGTTGATTTCTATATATTTTAAGTTAAATGAAATATTTGCTTCCTATATCAACTTTGGATTCCATTCCAGTTATTTAAAATGGGCTTATATCAAAAGTTTGTATCATTATTTTAGGAAAGCTATTAAATAAATGAGCTTTTGAGGGTTTTTTTTATTTGTCTGCTTTATGATTCATAATTTAATATATTTTACTTGTTTACATTTAAATATAGAGGAATAAAATCTGTGTTGCGAGCAGTATGGGTGTAGTGCATGTTTATATCTATAAACATTTTAAATCTTGCCCTATAAAAAGTATTGTCAGAAAAAAAAAATGATATCGCCATTATATACAAGAAGATTTCTCTTTCACTGTAGAAACGTATGCTTTAATATATTTTATATTTGTTACATATATATGCTGTATATAGTCTATTTGTGTGTCTGTGAAAATATATATTTATTGAAATTATTGTATGTATAAAAGTTTTTTTAAAATATATATTATAAATCTCGTCTATACTTCTTAATATATTCTTTTTTTTTCACACTGCCCCCTATGCCATATATATTAAACATATAATAAATATATTAAAACTTTATGATATTTATATAAAATGTTGTTGTTTCTTATCCCCCCCCCCTTGTGCATAGATTACACTAATTCACGAGTCCATGCTCCACAAGCTGTTTGATGATAAGCAGCGGCCTATCCCTAATGTTCTGTTTAGTACATCTAATGCAAGCCATTCTGGAGCTGCCGGC